GGGAGGGGTCTCTGGGGAGGGGGTCCTGGGGCTGCCCTTCACCCCCTCCCCCCCTGCAGGGTGTGGAGTTCTTCGACGAGAAGCTGAACTCGCTGTGCATGGCCTGGCTGGTGGATCATGGTGAGCTTCCCCCCCCCAGTGGGGGAAGATCCCCTAATTGCCCTAGGCAGGTGGGAGGGGGCAGATGAGGCTGCTCTGCGGGGCTGGTGTTAGAACAGCAGGGTCTGGGTGCCTGGGTTCCCTCCAACTGTGGGAAGTGGGGTTGGGGGATGAGAGCTGGGCCAGAGGCTGGTAGACATCGCAGGTCTGGGAGGTGGTGAGCAGAGCATGCTGGAAGCTAGGATTCCTCTCTTCTCTGTGAAGGGTCTGGCAAGATGGGAGAATAAGAATCCTGGATGCCTGGGTTCTCTTCAGTCTGCAAGGGAGAGTGTGGGTTAGAGTGGGGTGGGGAGCCCAGGTGCCTGGGTCCCTTCGTGACCCCTCTGCTCTTCCCCTTTCCCAGTTTACGCCATCCGGGAAGCGGCCACCAGTAACTTGAAGAAATTGGTGGAGAAATTTGGCAAGGATTGGGCCCATGCCACCATCATCCCCAAGGTGCTGGCCATGGCTGGGGATCCCAACTACCTACACCGCATGACCACGCTCTTCTGTATCAATGTGAGCCTGGGTGCCTGGGTTCTCTGTGGGGAGGGGAGGGGAGCGGGGGTGGGGGTCAAGGGCCCGGATGCCTGGGTTCTTCCAGGCTCCAGAGGTGGAGAGGTGAGAGCATTGGGGAGCTGGGAGCCCAGATGCCTAGGTTGTTGGGGGTGGGGGATGACAACCCAGATGCCTGGGTTCCCCCAGGCTCCAGAGGTAGACAGGTGAGCATTGGGGTCTAGAGGAGCCCGGACACCTGGGTTCTCTTGAGCATCGTGTCTCCTGGGGGGGTACTAAGGGGTGCTGTGTTGGGAAGGAATGATTGGTGGGGGGGGCTGTGCAGTGGCCAATAGGAACCTCCAGAGGGCACCAGACCAGCATCAACTCAGCTTCAGTGGCCTGTGGGGCTCACTAGGGAGCTCTAGATCTACTGCAATACCTCTTGGGGGGTGCTGAGGCCCTTTTGGGGGTTGTTACAGTGGGGGGGCACTGTAGGGGCAGGCTGGTGTAGAGTGGGGTCAGGGACCGTAAAGCCTGGGTTCTCTGGGAAGGGAAGGGGAGGGAAGGGAAGGGAAGGGAAGGGGAGGGAAGGGAAGGGAAGGGAAGGGGAGGGAAGGGAAGGGAAGGGAAGGGGGCTGGTGGTGAGAGCAAGGAGCTGGGGATCTGGACTCCTGCGTTCTCTTGGGAGGGGAGGGCGAGCAGGGGAGCTTGGATACCTGGGTTCTCTCCTCTGGGAGGGGGGTGGAGTCCAGTGGATTGCTGGGAGTCCAGTTTGGAGCTAGGATTCCTGGGTTCTCTCCTCCATAAAGGGCAGGAAGGTGAGGGGGGGGCTGCGCCTGGGCCCCCTCCTAGGTCTGGCAGCTGGGGGTCGGGGCGAGGCTGCGAGCCTGGATGCCTAGGTTCTCTTGGAGGCCAGTGGGACTACAACAGAGGAGCTGATCACCCAGATGCCTGGGCCCCCTCCTCCCCCCAGGTGCTGTCAGAGGTGTGCGGCCAGGAGATCACCACCAAGCACATGCTGCCCACAGTGCTGCGGATGGCAGCCGATGCTGTCGCCAACGTGCGCTTCAATGTGGCTAAGTCCTTGCAGAAGATCGGCCCCATATTGGACAACAGGTGTGGGGGGGACAGCCTGGGGCTGGGGCAGTGTGCTAGGGGTGGGGCTTAGCAGGGGGTGGCGGGGTTAGGCTTAGGGAAGGAAGTTGCTGACTGGTGCCAGGTCAGGCTGTGGGGGTTTGGAGGGAGGGGTGGTAGGAGGGGTGGAGCTAGGCCTCAGGAGGAAGTGCGGGGGGAAGACTGGGCTAAAGGGAGGGGTGGGGCTTAGGGTAGGAGGGGCTTGGGGCTAAAGGTTGGAGCCAAGGGACTGAGCAGGGGTGGGGGGAGGGAGAATGATCTGGCCTGAGTGCCTGGGGCTTCGGTAGTGGGTGGGCCTGGGTGGTCCTAACCCTGCCCCCTCCTCGGCCCCACCCCTAGCACACTGCAGAACGAGGTGAAGCCCGTGCTGGAGAAGCTGACACAGGACCAAGATGTGGACGTCAAGTACTTCGCCCAGGAGGCCCTGACAGGTGCGGGGGTGGGGCCCGGACACCTGGCTTCTCTGGGATGGGGGCGAGAGGATTCTCCCCCAAAACCCCTGATGCAGCCTCTTGGGAGTGGAGCTTACTTGACTTGGCTTTGCCCCCTTTTACCTGGGGGTCATTAGGCCCTGCCCACCAGGTTGGGGGTCCTGCATCAATTGAGTGGGTTGAGCCCTTGCCAGCCATTGGGGAGATCCATAGGGAAGGGGGCAGGGCCTCAACCACCCTGTCACCTGGGGGCTGGGGCTTCTGGGTCAGTGGGGATGGGGCTAACATCCCCCAAATGTAGGCGGGGCTCTGATCACACCCCTTCCCTCCCGCAGTGCTGGCCCTGGCCTGAAG